ATATGAATATATGTATATATGTATATGTACATATGCATGTATGTATATATACATATATATATACATACATATATATACAAACTTATACATATATATGCATACTTATACATACATACACATACATATACATACATATGCATATATATACATACATATAACACACACACACACACACACACACACACACACACACACACACACACACACACACACACACACACACACACACACACACATATACATACATATATACATACATATATACATACATATATACACATACATATATACACATACATATATACACATACATATATATACATACATACATACATATATATATATTTAATATATATATATATATATATATATATATATATATATATATATATATATTTATACATATATATATTATACATATATATATATATATATATATATATATACATATATATACATATATATATACATATATATACATATACAGTATATACATATATACATATATTCATATATTCATATATACATATATACATATATACATATATACATATATACATATATACATATATACATATATACATATATACATATACGATTACATATATACATATATATACATAAATATATATACATACATACATTCACACACACACACACACATGTATATATATTATATATATATATATATATATATATATATATATATATATATATATATATATATATATATATATAGTTAGAAAGAGAAGGAGGAGAGGGAGAGAGAGAGGAGAGAGAGAGAGGAGAGAGAGAGAGGAGAGAGAGAGAGGAGAGAGAGAGAGGAGAGAGAGAGGAGACAGAGAGAGAGACAGAGAGAGGGGGGTGAGGGAGAGGGAGAGAGGGTGGAAAGGAAGAAGAAGGAAGAGAGAAAGAAAAGAAAAGAGTGAGGAAGGATGAGTGGAAGGGAGGGAAGGAAGGAGAGAGAACAAAGAAAGTAAGGAAAGGCAACAGAGGAAACAGAGAAAATGGAGAAAAGAAAGAGAGGGAAAGAGAAGGGAAGAGAAGATAGAAATGATGCGTCAATCTATCCTAGCTACTCAATCGCATGCCCTTCCACGTGTTCCTTCCCTCGCCTAAATGTTTTCGCGCAGGGAAGGCCCGAAGGGAGCTGAGATTTGCCCCAGTCCCCCCCCCCCCCCTCTCCCTCCTCGCCGTCGCTTATCTGGCGCTCCCACGCAGCCTGGCTCTCCCTCGCGCAGCATCCTGGTTTGTGTGCGAAGGGCGGCCCGCCGTCCTGTGCTCGCTCAACCGTGTCACCGTCGCCCACTGCACTAAATTTACACACACTTTTTGCCCCTTCCCCCCTTCTCCTTTTCGTCTTCTTTTTATCGGGTGCGTAGGAAGCGGTCTTGAAGCTTTTAAAAGTTCAATTGGTCTAACCTAACTGTATACTAATAACTGGCAATCAACCGAGATTGGTTGGCCGCGGGCGATGTTATCAAGCTCATCCCTTCATAAATGACGCAAAAAAGCCCTGCTCACACCTGCTGACACGTCCTGAGCCACGTCCGAGCGCGCGCGGTTTCTGACGGTCAGTTCCCCAGCGCCGGAGCATCTTCCCGCTCCTCCGAAGGGCGAGCGCATCCCCGCCTGTCCCTCCCAGGGCCGCGCAGTGGTCAAGCCCGTGCGCCCCCCGCAGTCGGCCGTCACATACCAACAGCTCCATAACAACTTTCTCTGGGACGAAGGCCCTAAGCATCGCTCTGCTGACTCGTACAATAAAATATCCAACCGATATTTATCAGGAAAGAATTCAAATGAAATATTAAACATTTTACCATCTTACTTTGATAGAATTAATATATATATATATATATATATATATATATATATATATATATATATATATATATACTTGAACAATACACAAGACTGTTGGTACTACGATAACTTAAACGATAAAGATAAATACAATAGTTGCTACAGCATTAGCAACAATAGTTAACAATGGCAATAAAATTAAATAATGATTACCACTTAACATCCCGGCTAACGAAATTACCATCGCACATATAAAAGCTAATCAGGCAGCGCTCATTGACGGACCAGCGTCTTCCCAGCACTCAGACCGACATTATCAGCCCGCGTTTAGATTCTGCTTAAAGGAGGGAATTCGGCGCGGGCGGGCGGCGCGGGCGGGCACTGGAGTGCGAGGTAAAGGCCTCGGGGGAGAAGTCTAGACGGCCGGCGCAGGACCCTCCGCAAAGGTTCCCACACACCGTTCGGAGATAACATTCCAATTGAAACCTGACTAACTAGTGCCGATATTTTTGGAATCCCATGAATAATTCATGAATAAGCGAGCTGCTGGCGAATACTTCTAGTCACCTCTGCAGGAAAATGTCGTTGGCTGATAGAGTTTATTGTCATTAAAAATCGTCTAGTCTCTCTCAGACGTAGTTCTCCTTGAGATTACCGGCCAGGAAAGGTCGCGCGACTGGAGACCTGACCGTGGTTGCGTCACTCCGCCCCGCCTCTGCGGTCCCATCTCTTCTTGGCTGCCGTTGCGGTTTCCTGGGACTCAACACGGACTTAGACGCAAAAAAAATAACATAGTTAGCACATATATATCTTGGCAGTCTTCGGTCATACTACTTCCTCATCTGCAAATTAAAAGAGAAATCATAAGCTCTCAATCCCTAATCCCACTGATTTCAATCTACTGCCCGCAGAGTCCCGGAAGCAGAGGGTTCGAGTCGGCCTACCCATTACGCAAATCAGTCCGCGCGGCTGACCTACCTGGCGGGGGCACCATAGGCGGCCGGATTTAAGGACATATTCTGCTCCTAAATATGCCCCCTACATCCCCCCTCATAAGGGACGACTCCTCTTGCCCTAAATGACTCTTGCTCCCCACGTCATCCACGACAAAAACAGCGACTCAACTAGTACCGTTAGAGCACCGAATGCCATAAGCAATAAATAAAAAACAAAAAAAACTTTCAGTATTCTCACGGAGCGTGTCATCGCAAATCACACACACAGTAACTCTGACCTTAAAGAGGAAAAGGAGGAAGAGGCGATGATAAATGAGTGTGTGAAAGGAGGAGGAGGAGGGGTAGCAATAAATGAAGTAGTAATAATAATAGTAAAAGTAGTAATACTAGTAGTAGTAGGAGGAGGAAGAAGAAGGGGGGAGGGAGGGGAGGGGGAGGGGCAGAGGAAGAGGAAGAGGAAGAGAAAAATGAGGAGAAAATGAGTGCTTGTATGTATGTATGTATGTATGTATGTATGTATGTATGTATGTATGTATGTATGCATGTATGTATATATGTATGTAAAATGCATGTATGTATGTGTATGTTTATGTGTATGTGTATGTATATGTGTGTGTGTGTTTGTATGTATGTGTGTGTGTGTATGTATGTATGTATGTATGTATGTATGTATGTATGTATGTATGTATGTATGTATGTATGTATGTATGTATGTATGTATGTATGTATGTATACATGAATATATATACATATTTTAACGCGTATGTATGAAGTCAGCCACAAAGTGCCCTATATAAGAAAATTAAAACCATACACAATATGAAAGTGCGATTAAGTTATGCTATGCCAAAAATGCCAAAAATGCCGAGCGCGTTATGGAATCAGCCATAAAAGCGACGAACAAACGAGATTTCAGTTTTATTGATCGGCCGAAGGGAGCAAAAAAGGGAGCGGTCCGCGCCGCGTCCATAAACTCCCCAAACCGGCATAAATAGACCTTTCTTTCGGCCTTAGGACCAGCCTCGTTAGCCGGACGTCTCACAAACCGTTATGCTGCAAAAATGATGCGCCTCGATTACCCGCGGGAGAAAAAGGCGCCGACACCAATTTGGCTTTCGCGGTTCTAATTACGCGCGCCGACTGAAAAAAGCGCGCGTTAATCGAGAAGAGAAAACGCCCGGAAAATTCACGCATCCTGGAAAATGGCATAGGAAAAAATACATATACATTCCTTTTAAATCAAGCAGTAAATACCAACTGGAAAATAAAATCGCACCCAAAGGAACCCTCGTTAAACCGATTTCAGGAGCGAAAAGTGGACGAGCTCGATGCGCGCGCAGGCGGACTCCGCCTCAGTTATTCTTCACCCTGCTGGGAATTACCTGGGAGGCAGGGCTCAGGGAAGGAGGGAAGTAAATCGCAATGAAATCGGGAGGGACGACTTGCCGACGCAGCTTGAGCTAGAGTCATCGTCTTTAATCTACACTGAATCACTGTTAGAGTCCTTCGGTATCCTTTTTACTCGTTCCAGGGCGAACCAAACCCTGAGAAAATCAAGCAAGAGGCCTCGCCATGACCCTCTCCCGTGGCCCGGCGGCGCCTTCTCCTGGCCCGTCAATGGCACTGCACGGGAATCAATCTCAAGGTGAAAGGAGGGGGGGGGGGGTATTCGTTCCGCGCTTCAGCCAAACGATTTATCTCTCACTCGTTCATGCACTCTCCCTCCCTCGCTCTCTCTTCACCTCCATGCAGCACCAGACATTTTGAATAATAGACCTAATGAACCCGCGTACTTTTGTGTATAAAAGCACACTTCGCAGAAAATAGCTTTCTTTCACTTCGGAGTCCAATTATAGCGGACGCCGTAAATGGCACGTGCTTGACTGATTGCCGCCGGGGGGAGGGGGGGCAAGGACGAACCCCCCTGCCCAGTGCACTTGTGGAGAAAATACTTTGCCGCGCGGTCATCCTGCTTGCAACCGATACCGGACACGAGCGACAGACTGCGGAGCCTGCAGTCACTTCTCTTGCCGACGATGAAGAAAGGCTCCTTCGCAAGGACACGCAGACGACGCTGCATTCTAAGGCGTTATACAGAGCTTACAGCTGCAGACCAACCTCGCCGACACCCTTGACACATGCCAACGCCTTGTGTGTCCAAGGGCGAGCTCCATTTGCAACCAGCAAATTACTCAACACTATCTAACCTTATCGCCGCCTCTTCCCTCAGCACACACTCACCTTGGCTCTCCTCAGCTTACAATCACACTCTGCCCTTTCACATCCTTTCCTCTTGTGGCAGGTGTCTGGTGGCCCGGTGGCTGGGCGCGTCTCCCGGGTATGCTGGACCTGATAAACCTGTCTCCTGACGCACTCCCTCCTTCTGCTCACACGCCATTCATCTACACAAAATAGGCCTATGCGGCTTCCTTCTCCCCTCTAATGTCTGTATTTTTACCCGACTGCCGCCGAAGAGACACTCGCGGACAAACAAGATTTACAAACGTGAAAAAAGGTAATTCCATCACAGTGGTCGACTTTTAACCTCTATTTAACCTCTGACCACATGTGCGCAGCAGCGGTTACGCGCAAAAAAGAACCTGATTCCACTCCTGGCCTGCCCTGCGCTGCCTCCCGCTCAGCCTACCTGGCCGGGGAAGCGGGCCACGCGCCGCTCGTGTCGTTAATACTTGCCAGGTACGTAGGGCGTCCGTACGCGCGCGCGTGGAAAGGGAGAAATACAGGACGAAGGCGAGGGATAGGGATAGGGATGGGAGAATGAATGAGAGAGAGAGAGAGAGAGAGAGAGAGAGAGAGAGAGAGAAAGAGAGAGAGAGAGAGAGAGAGAGAGAGAGAGAGAGAGAGAGAGAGAGAGAGAGAGAGAGAGAGAGAGAGAGAGGGGGGGGGGAGAGAGAGGGAGGGAGAGAGGGGGGAGAGAGGGAGGGAGAGAGGGAGGGAGAGAGGGAGGGAGGGAGGGAGGGAGGGAGGGAGGGAGGGAGGGAGGGAGGGAGGGAGGGAGGAAGGGAGGGAGGTAGGGAGGTAGGGAGGGGGGAGGAAAGAAGGAAAGGAGGAAGGAAGGAAGGAAGGAAGGAAGGAAGGAAGGAAGGAAGGAAGGAAGGAAGGAAGGAAGGAAAGAAGGAAGGACGGAAGGGAGGCAGAGAGGGAGACAGAGGCTCAGATACGGCGGTTTCGCGCCGTATCTGAGCTCCTCGTTGACCGCCAAAGTGTTCGCTCCCTTAGCACTCCCGCCAGCGTTTCGCCGCTTCGCCTCGCGCGTCCGCCTTCCGGGTGGCGGAGGCGGCGGCGGCGGCGACAGGGGCTCGCCATGAAATCCTCCCCGCTTGTCGTCATCCCTCGCTGCGTGTGACCTTGCCAGGGCTTCAAATAATATGCTGGGAGTTGAAGGAAAACAGAAAAAATCGACCCGTGTCAACACATGCGAACTTGAATGTGGAAAATGACGCCTTCCCGACCCGCCTCATCCGGCCTTTGTTTCTCGAACGAACAGTCACAGCGTTAGTCACAGCTGGGAAGACGGAAGCACACCGCCAGGGAGTGAATCACTCTTCGGGATGCTTGTGAAATGTTAAATTTCCTGCGTTTGTGCCGGAGAAATTAAATGATTTTCATTGTCATTTGTCAGTTGCGCAGTATACATGCATACATACATATATTACATTTATTCATTATATAATGTACACTTGCACATATACATATACACATACACATACACACACACACACACATACATATGTATGTATGTATGTGTGCATGTATATGTATATATATGTATATGTATATGTATATGTATATGTATATGTATTCATGTATGAAAGGGAATAGGAAAATGAAAGGGAAAGAGAGAGAAAGGGAAAGGGAAAAGGAAAAGGGAAAGGGAAAGGGAAAGGGAAAGGGAAAGAGAGCGAGAGAGAGAGAGAGAGAGAGAGAGAGAGAGAGAGAGAGAGAGAGAGAGAGAGAGAGAGAGAGAGAGAGAGAGAGAGAGAGAGAGAGAGAGAGAGAGAGAGAGAACGTTTTAAAGTAAAATGCACATTCTATCCCCATTTCTCAAGAAGGCCCAAACTAAGCCCCGCTTCTCCGTGCGGCAAGCCAGCCCGGCACGCAGCCCAACGGCGGCCGGCCAGACCCCCCGCCCCTCCCGCCGCGCAAGGCACATGCAGGCGGATCATAAAGCCTCGAGAGAAATGCTTTTACCGCCACGAATATGACAATTCTTTTCTCGAACTGCACGATTATCCGACGCAAAAATGCTGAGATCTGGCGGGGGATAATAGCATGTACACATTTACTGAGCAAGCAGCAGATCTAACATTATTTTTTATCTAAATCCTGACAACAAATTCGTCATGGTCATATCATGAACAGATAGATAAATAGTGAGATAGAGAAATAGATAAATAAATGTGAAAAGTGAAAAGGTGTTGGGATTGCAGACACGACTAGTGCCACCGGACACAACGACCGCCACAGATCAAGGTCAGAGGACCGAAGGTTAAGGTGTCGAAGGACCACCATGGCGCCCTTTCTCTCTCTCTCTCTCTCTCTCTCTCTCTCTCTCTCTCTCTCTCTCTCTCTCTCTCTCTCTCTCTCTCTCTCTCTCTCTCTCTCTCTCTCTCTCCATTTTGCTTCTTCTCCCTCTGCCTCACCTTCTCCATCACCTTCTCCCTTTCCCCTCTGTCTCTCTGTTTCTCTTTCATTTCCTCCTTTTCCCCTCTCTCCCTCTCTCTTCCACTATTCCTCTCCGCCCCCCCCCCCTCTCCCCTTCTCCCTCTCCCCCTCAACGGCCCTTGATTACATGCATTCACAATATCACCGCGATCTCAGGCTGATGCGCCGGCCTGCTGAGTCACCGCGAAGAATAAATAATCAAAGCGCCATTTTCCATCCCGCCTTTTGCTCTCCTCTTATCTCCGTAATCCAAAGCCTCCATCATTCTCCCATTTGTAATCGTCTCGTTTCGAATTTCAATAAGATCGCAGCCTCTTCCGAGCTGACGGCTCTACAGACTCTGACCCTTCGCCCCCCCTCCCCATCCCCCTCCCCTCTCCGCTCTCTCGTCCACTCCCTGCCCCTGACCCCGCCGTGCCCCGCGTCGTGACGTCACCATTATTGCCAGATTCATTAATATCATTAACAATAGTTTCAATGCGAACTCGTGAATATCCGAGAGCCCTCTTCGTAGGGCATCGCGGCCGATGTCGTCGCAGAGTGCCCATCCGCCGCGTTCTCGCGCTCTCGCGCACAGACTCACGGGACTCAGTCACGATCACGCATCATGCTGCAAAGGGCCAGGAGTGCGTGCGTGGGGGTTCCGGGACGAAAGGACAGTCAGTAAGTAAATAAGTAGATAAATAAATGTGTGTGTGTGTGTGTGTGTGTGTGTGTGTGTGTGTGTGTGTGTGTGTGTGTGTGTGTGTGTGTGTGTGTGTGTGTGTGTACATATGTATGTATGTATGTATGTATGTATGTATGTATGTATGTATGTATGTATGTGTGTATGTATGCATGGATAGTGAAATGCCACCTTCGAATCGTCGTGTTTCCCAACACAAACCGGTTTCAGCTATCATCATCTTGTTGGAAATCGACAAAGAAACTACAAAGTCCAGAAAAACCGGCCGTAAACAACCCGATTAATCGGCTAATTACAACCTGCGAGCCGCGATTCCCCGGAGGTCGAGAGGCCCCCGCGCCCCCGCCTCGCCGCGCCGCACCCCCACAAACCCGGCGTCAGGAAGGGATTCTGCTACGCAATAATCCCTAGCCAGTGGACGCGTTCCAACGTGGGGATTGGGTGGCTCCTGCACGACGCAGATTTTCCCTATTTCCTTGACGGCAAAACAAATTATCAAATAAAAAACCTGTGCAAACAAGACGAGAAGCAAAAAAATAAATCGAAGGCCATACCCTCCACCTCGTCGTAAACAAAAATAAATAAACAAACAAATATATCACGATGATATCATTCCTTATAATGATAAAACTAAAAACAAAACTGACCCTCCCGCGCACATATCCATAACATATCCATAACAATGCAAACGACAGCAATCTCTGCTCTTTTCCAGAGAAAAAAGCCAAGCCAAACGCAAGACAACATGCACATGCCCGATGCACCTCCAGCTTTCGGCCCGCGATACTGGCGGCGTCCCCGTCGTAAAGCGTGCCTCGGGAGCGCTGCCTGTCCCCTGGAATACAAATGGCCGACTCGAGAGAAATATTGGCCTCCGCAGAAACACACAATCGAACGTCGACCGCGTCCGATTGGACTGTCATGTTTGTTTATGGCCCGGCCGTTTCGCGGATCGGCCTGCGTGCGGACCCGCCAGATTCCACCGGGCCGGTCAGGGATGGACGCGGCGACATGAGAACTGCCCGCTGCGTGCAGAACTACCAGGCACAACTGAGACTATAGTTTTGTGCGCGCGCGTGTGTGTGTGTGTGTGTGTGTGTGTGTGTGTGTGTGTGTGTGTGTGTGTGTGTGTGTGTGTGTGTGTGTGTGTGTGTGTGTGTGTGTGTGTGTGTGTATATACATATATATATATATATATATATATATATATATATATATATATATATATATATATATATATATATATATATATTATATGTATGTATATATATATGTATGTATATATATATGTATGTATATATATGTGTATGTATATATATATGTATATATATATATATATATATATGTGTGTATATATATATGTATATATATATATATATATGTGTGTGTGTATATATATGTATATGTATATATATATATATATATATATATATATATATATATATATATATATATATATATATATATATTTATACATATATATACATACATATGTACATACATATGTACATACATATATACATATATATATATATATATATATATATATATATATATATATATATATATATATATATATATATATACATATATATATATATGTATGTATATATATATGTATGTATATATATGTGTATGTATATATATGTGTATGTATATATATATGTATATATATATATATGTATGTATATATATATATATATATATATATATATATATATATATATATATATATATATATATATATATATACATATATATATATATATATATATATATATATATATATATATACATATATATATACATGCATATATATATACATATATATATACACACATATATATATACATACACATATATATACACACATATATATATACATACACATATATATACATACATATATATATACATACAT